TCTTCTGAGTGGCGAGGAGGCGTATTGCTCTTGCGCCCCACTTCTGTCGTCGCCCCCTTCCCTTTTATCTGGCGCTTCATCAATTCCATGTCTGCCGCCATCTTCCTGATTAACTCGTCCTGCTACTTTACCCAATCCTCCAAAACTTGAGGGTCGATCCCCCGCCTCTACCTATCAGGACTTGATGAGCAACGGAGGCTGTTACCCCGCCTCGCCCTTGCATCCCTCCGGGGGTTCTGTCGCTGGGGCTCTAAATCTGCCATAGGAGGGATAGAAGGCAAACCTTCGCGCCTCCCGCCTCCCTCCGGGGTTTGCCCGTCAATGGTGGACTGCGGCAAATCCTCATTGTGCGCCATTACGTCTAATCTAGCGAGGAAAACTTTGATAAAGAGGTTTTGTTCTTTCTGTGATTTCCACAGACGGCGCCAATTGTACGAGCAAGAAATAATCTTCTCATATAATCCTGTTGATCAAGTCCGTGCTCCTCCTAACATCGTCGCTTTACTCCCTGAAAACACAAACGTGAGCTAGCCGGCGGGTGTGTGCCAGATACCTCCCCGATGCCTAAGTCAGCAAAATAGACAAATAGACAAAATCTCTGTGTATTCGAGAATCAAAGTTGCGTTACCTCTCCATAGGTGATGTTGTGAGCTTTTATAGGTTCCGCGTGGCACAATCCAAGTAGGACTCTTACTCCTCCATGTAGAGTCCTAGGAATCACATTCCTGAAAGATAATGCTTATCCTTCAACACCCCCCTCACTACTTAAACCAAGTGAGATGGTTCTACCACTGTTGGATGTCAATACGACCGAGATAACATGGCCACGCTAAAGCCGCAGACTAGACCAAGCTCCCACTAGCTCGGTTCTTCCTTTCACTGAGTGTACCTCGGTTTGACATATTCCAACTGGGTTGTCTGAGACCGCATTAACCACAACGAGCTTGGACCGAGCTAACCAATAGCAAGGTATTGAGGAAAGCTCAACATACTTCGGCTCAATATGATATGACCGAGCTAACTGTTACCGCTCTCTTGGACCGGGCTAATTTCTAGGCCCTTTTACTCAGCCCTTCTTACTGTGGCCCACAGAATGGTCCATTACCCAGCTCGGCCCAATTTACATATAAATTATCCTCTCATGACCTATTTTGACAATTGAATTAAAAGCTAGTTTTTTGAATTTTTTGATCATATTATTTTTCTATTTTTATACATATTTAAAAAAAAAAACTAAAAAAAATCCAAAAACTACCATTCAAGTTCCTACTTTCCAAAATAGGTTTTGTTGTAGAAATGACAATCACGATGTCTCTCGTGTTGTGTTCTTATGTGGAAAATGCTTTTCTACTGTTAACTATCTCTATCCTTATTATGCGCCTTTTTGTTTCCACCCTGATTTATATATTCACGTGTAATAATTATAAAAATTAATCAAAGGAGTTGTGGCACTTTAGGAAGATATTGGCGTATAAATTCTGAGATTTTAAGTTTTACATTTCTTAGGGTTAATTCTCACGAATTTTGTTGTAGTGATCCTAGAACGACTCTTTAAGTATTAGAGAAATGGTATCCAAGGTTTGGGTGTAGAATCAAATCCTGACAGTTACGCTCTCGAATTTAAATGATTTGTGCGTTGTGGAATCAATGCACTCACTCGAGATTTGTCTCTCGTTCTATTTCGGTTAAATCAACATTAAGTAGTTAATTCTAAAATCGGTGAAGGACAGGCTTAAAGAGTTTACTTGTTAACCAAAAAAACATAAAAATTTAGGATTAATTATATTTTAACTTTAGAATTTGATCCAAATTTCACTTTGATCCATATTGTTTTAAATTGAACAATTTGGTCTCTATGCTTAAAATCTAGTTTCATTTTGATCATTTGGTTCATGCTGCAAGTTAAAATTAATGATTTTAAGACACTTATCAATCTTATAAAGTGTATACATAAAAAAAAATTAACGAAAATTTAGATAGAATAATCAAATTGAAAATGGACATAAGTAGTATGGAAGTGAGCCATTTTCATCAATATAAGGATGATTTCAATGTTTTCATTTATGTTGTATTTGGTTGGAGAATTTGATAAGAGATTTGGAAAGAGGAAAAGAAAAGTTAGGTGAAATCTGAATAAAATACACCTATATTTCACATAATTTCACACATATTTTCCCTTTTAATTTTTAAATCCCTTCCCAAATCTCTCAACTAAAAACAACATTAAAGTTAACAGTATTTATGGAACGTAACACACTAAATTCATGTGTATAATTTAAAGATGTAATTGACACAAATTAAAAAGTATGACCAAAATGAAGTAAACAGTACACTTTAAAAACTATTTGTGCAATTTAATTAATATATTGATATGATAAGATAACGTATATGAAACGTCTCTCGTAACTTCGCTTTCATTCACTGCTAACTTACCCTCAAAAAAAAATAAAAAAATAATTTAAAGTCACTTATCACTTCATTTAATAAATTTATTAATAGAACTTAACAGGTAATAAGTTCAAAAAATAAGACCCATTAATAATTTACCTAAAAAATTATTTTTTTAAAAAAAATTGGCTTTCTCAGAAATTTTGATCCTTTTCAATTTTATAGATGGAATGAAAACCTCAATTTTTTTTAAAAAAAAATCTAATGTATCTTCAAAATACAAAATAAAATAAAAAATTCAAAATTTCGTTCCTTGCCAGTGTTTATGACTTTTTAGAGATTTGTCTCTCAAGATAAATAATCGAGAACCCATGGAAAAAAACCACTACTATCAGTGTGCCGGGTGAACTATCAGAGTGTTTGAAATCTCTCTTGATTCTTTTTCTATTATGTGTTGGAATTCCATATATTTTAGAGTATTGCTATTAGTAACCTATTAATTATTTTGAGTTTATTATTTTTTTAGACCTTCACTTATAAATTGTAAAATTCTTATAAATTTTCTCTTCTCTCCTCAAATAATATTAAAATTATCTTTATAAAAATATTTCACCCATTCAAATGCACACCCCCGCACCTCACACCTTAAAAAGTCTTTCTCCCAAAACCTTAACAAAACCCATGATTGGTGCAACCTTCCAAAACCAGTAGAAAAAAATTGTGATGATTAAAAAGTTTTTTCTCTATTTCATTACGAGATTTGTCAATCTGTTTGATTTTTTTCTATTATATTTTTTTATACATACAACACAATCCACTTTCAGTTTCTCTAGTTAGTTTTCTGTCATTCATTTATGACCTCGCTATACTTGTGTGCTCTGTGAGCAAAATTGGATATGATTTCAACCCTCGGTTGACCACCCAAGAGTGGTCTGACCTCATTTGTTTGTCTGCTTCTACTACTGTTTCGGTTATCTGTTCCTGAACAAATAAGAAATGTTTGATTACCTGTTCCCGAATAAATAAACAATGTCTGAGCCTATATTCTCGAATTTTGATCATATGTTCGGGAGTTTAATCCTGAAAAAATGACGAACATTTTCTATTATTTTTGCTATTTTTTTCAAAAAACTTATCTTTACAAGATTAATATCTTCTGAGCTAAGAACACCATCAAAGTTATGAACTTCTTTTGAGTTTTTATTTTTGTGCTCCTCTCGTCTCATGAAGTTGTAGTTGTCGGAAAGACTTTCACTCATTGTCATTATCAGAGAAATGTATGTAATCAAATGATTGTCATCGTTGCCGCCAAAGGTTTTGATGGTGGATAGGTTTTGAGATGTGAGATTTAGAGAAGATGGATGGGTAGTGATCGAGGTAGATGCTCTTATAAATCCTAACTTATGATGTAGTAGGTGTGTGGACATAACTATAAGATAGAGTGTCCCAAAATTATTGATATCTTCTTTAATAATTTCATTTGAAGTTATTACTATAAAAAAAAAAACTAAAAAATAAAAATCTAAAATAATTGATGGAATGCAACGCTCTTACTATTTTATTTTATTATTATTATTATTTTTTTTTCTCAAGCTGAACACTTGGAGATCGTTCACTACAAGAATTTACACATTTTGCGACCACTTTTGCCGACCAAAAAAATTTTGGTCGCCAAAAAATTCCATTTGCCGACCAAAACTAAATTTGGTAGCTAAAAATTCAGATTTTTACCGACTAAAATTTTTGGTCGCAAATAAGTAATTTTTGGCGGTTATTTCTTGTAGTGGTTTCAACTCATCATGCACAAAGATGCACTTAAATTTCTTGATTTTTTTGTAGGTCCTACCTAAAATAGAGGCATTTTTCTTCCCCATGCATCGTGTCTACTTCCACATGTAGTTACATTAACATCATTTAAAATTTTAATTTATACCACAGTTAAATTTTTTTATTAATAATTTGTTAATCATATGCATTTTTTTTGCTAATATATATTTATATATTATTTATTTCAATATCTACACATTATTAACATTACTTTCAATCACTTTAAGTATACTAAAAGAGAAAATTAATGAGAAAATTATTGAAAAATCCAAAATAAAGTAGGTATAAAATATTAGATCCAGTGAATATTTTTTATTAACGAGAGATTCACCTTTTGTGAAATAATTTAATAAAAAATCCTTTCATTGATTTTAGAGAACATTTGTTTCCAATTTTACCCCTGACTTTTTTTTATCTGTTGATTTTTTGTTAATTATTTGTTTAAATTTATATCTATTTATTTAAATTTCTTTTCTATTTGTTCAAATTTATATTAATCTGTTCAAATTTTTTAATTATCTGTTTAATTGTTTGCCCTTATTTGTTCAAAATTTTGCTATCTGTCAAAATTTACCACCTGATTTGTTGAATTTTTACACCTCTTTTTTTCTTTCTCACTCTATTTGTTAAAATTTATTACTTGATCTGTTGTAATTTTGCTATAGGTTGAATTTTATCTGTTGAAATTTCCCTTATCTGTGGAATTTCAAAGGCCTATCTTTTCTATCTGTTTCATCACCATCACCATCACCAACAAATCATCATCATAAACAACAAGAAGAGATCTAAACTTACATTAAAAAAAATTGATTTCACATCACAATAACAAAATTAATAATAATAACAACCACAGATCTGTTGTTTTTCAACAGATGGTGCCTCAACCACCTCATCGCCTCCATCTTCAATACTAATCTTGCAGATCTTCCACAGATTCAACATCGATATGTGATTTTGGGACAGATCTGAAAGAGTTCACATCAGATAACCTTAAATTTAAGAACAACTTCGGGAAAAATCAAAACAACAAAGAACCTCCCACGAACAAAGTCCAAAATTGAGAATATATATATATATATATATATATTGTAGTGACTAACCCCAAGCTCCTCTGCCTCGCACAAATCGATATGGGAATCGACAACCAAGTCCGAGAGCTCTGGGAAGAATTTGAAGAATCTAGAAATGAGTTGTGCAGATAACTGCTTCGCCTTAATGCTCTTGCTTTTGACCGCCTAATGATGCTTCGGTAATCATCTACATGATATTTTAATTCAAAAAAATTCAAATTAACAAACACACAAAACCACAGCAAATTAAAATTGAAGAACAAAACCCTAGAAATTGAATTAGAGTGGAAACAATTTACGAACCTGAGACTTGTTTTTGACCTCGCTCAATCGCTCGCCGTATTTCAGGAGTTGTTCGATATCTTTGGCATCGCCGTATTTAAGACATTAATCTGATTTCTGGTTTCTGAAATTTGGCCAAGGTCTCGGCTCTGGTTTTGATCGAAGCAAATGTAAAGGTAGGGTTAGGGTTTTGAAGACGAAGAAACCTTAGGAAGTCGGAGCTTCGTCGGCATTGACGACGGAGGAAGAGTAGAGCAAGTAAAGAGAGAGTTACTTACCCAAAAAAAAGTAAAGAGAGAGTTCACCAGCAGTGGTGCTGGAGGAGAGAGAGAGAGAGAGTTCAGATTGGCCGACGCCATCTTTAGATCCTTCGACGGAGACCAACGTTGAGATCAACGGCCACAGCGAGATCATTCGACCTCGTCGCCCACTGCCGCCAACTGCGCCGCCGTTCTACGTTCATCATCATCATCATCTGCGATCGGAGATTTGAGGAAATATGAGTGAAGTTATGAGATGATTTGGAAAGCAAGCTAAAAACTAGTTGTTAATTTTTTTATTTTTTTTGAATTATATTATTTTTTATATAAAAAAATGATTAAAAAAAGTTCAAAAAATTAAAATATTAATTTTTAATTAATTTCTCAAATTACTCTCATGTTTGGCATGTCGGGCTAAAATAGTTAAATAAGATAAAATTGACTATTTTAATTAAATAGGACAAAATATTATATCTGAATTATAATTATTTTATTTTTTCTTCCACAAAAATTAAAAAATTTAAAAAATCTATCCCAAATAAGATTTTTTAATCTCAAATTAAAATAGTCAAAAAATTAACTAATATCTTAAACAAATACTATGAGAGAGAGAATCATAAAATAAAGAGAACAGTGGTACGGGAGACCCCACGGCGGTGTTGGGGACCCCAGTACCCCTACCTCCACGTGGAGAGCCGTGAGACCAAGGCAAAAAAATAAATAAATAAAATTTGGGCCAATAAAAAAACAGTGGGGGTGGTGAGGGTCTTAGTCTTTTTCCGGAAACCCCAGCACCCCCACACTTTTTGTGAGGGAGAGGGAGGAGAGAGAGTGAGGGAAAAAGAAAAAAAAAAGAAAAAAAATAAATGAGCGGCACAAATCAATTGGGAGTTGTGGGAGTCCTAAATTGTGGGGGGTTTCAAGTATTATTCTAAAGAGAAATAAAACATAAACACAGAAATAAAACACGCGTAAGAGAGATGAAGGGATATGTTGATCATTTTGTGAGGAGCTGAGAGGGTAATTTTTGGTGAAAATTGGGCCGAGCTGTGAGATGGACTTTATGGCCCAAAGTACGAAGGACTGGGTAAAAAGGGCCGAGAAATTACTCCGGCCCAAGAGAGATAAAGTTACTCCGGCCAAGAGAAATGAAGTTACTCCGGCTAAAGGAGACAAAGTTACTTCGGCTCAGGAATTGTAAAGCTACTTCGGTCCGAAGTCAGCTTGAAGTTAGACCGGTCTTGGAGTTATACCGGTCTTGGAGTTATACCGGTTTTTGAGTTATACCGGTCGCAAATTGTTGATTCGGTCATGAGTTCTACATCCGAGATAGGAAAGAATAAACAGAAGAACCGAACTAAGGTTAGTTCGGCCTGCTCTGTGGCTTAGCATAGCCAGGTTTATCTCGGTCGTGTGGTAGTTCGGCCATGATAAAAACCATCCCACTTAGTTTAAGTATTGGGGGGGTGTAAAAGGATAAGCATTATCCATAGGAGTATGAATCCTAGGAGGACTCTGCATGGAGAAATAAAAGTCCTACTAGAATTATGCCACTCGAAACCTATAAAAGCTTACAAGCATCACCTTGGGGGAGGTAACATAACACAACATACAATTTTGCTTCCTGAATTCATTGAGCTTTGTCTATTTGTCAAGTTTTCTGACTTAGGCATCGGAGAGGTTTCCGGCACACACCCGCCGGCTAGCTCACGTTTGTGTTTTCAGGTGACAAAGCGACGTCGTACGGAGGAGCGTGGACTTAGTCAACAGGATTATACGAGGAGAATTATTTCTTCCCCGTACAATTGGCGCCGTCTGTGGGAATTACAGACAGAACAAAATCTCTTGACTAAAGCTTCTCCCCCTTACATTCAATGGCACACATTGACGAATTACCGCAGTCCGCCGTCGACGGACTAACACCAGATGGGGGCGCAAGGCGTGAAGGATTACCTTCTGTCCCTCCCATGACGGACTTGGAGCCCCAACGGCATAACTCCAGAAGGGATACTAGGGGAAGGCGAAACAACAGCCCCCATCGCTCTCGTTCACAAAGCCCTGACAGGCAAAGAAGGAGGATTGACCCTCAAGCTCTGGAAGACCGCGTGAAAGAGCAAGATGAATTGATAAGAAAGATGGCGGCGAACATGGAGGCCTTAAAACGCCAGATGAAGAAAAAAGAAGTGGCGACAAGAGAGGGGCGCAAAAACAAGACGCCCCCTCGCCACTCAGAAAATCGTAGTAGGAATACTACACCCTCACGAGGAGAGAGTAGATGCCTCAGAACAGGCGATACTCAGTCACGGTCTTCCAGAACTCGTCGCTCCAGGTCTGAGAGGACGAAGTCTGAAAGATCATTCACTGAAGGAAGCGCATATTGGCCCTCACATTCTCACCAAACTAGATCCAGGCAGACAGAATTACCCAGATCATCCGACTTACGAACCGTGCTCGAAGAGAAAGCACGATGCAAGGAGGATGCCAAGGCACGGGATCCGCACAGAGTATCTGCCTTACAACGGTTGGCTCCTCGGACGCATGGAAGCGTCGAGGTTGGAATGCCAATACCGCGCCCCGCCGACGAACCAACGGACAAAGCGTTGGCAAGACTACAAACTTCGCCGTTTGTTCCAGCAATCGAGAATGCGCCCCTTCCATCAGGCTTCCTTCAGCCGAAAGTCACCACATACGAAGGGAAGACGGACCCGTACACACACTTAAGCCACTTTCGCCAAGTCATGGCTGTTTACAGACGAAACGAGGCTTTAATGTGCATACTCTTCCCGTCTAGCCTTGGCGACCTAGGCTTGACTTGGTTCGAGAAACTTCCTGAGGGCAGCATAGCTTCTTGGGCACAATTGGCAGAAGCATTCGTGACAAGGTTCCGAACAAACACTAAAACACCGGTGGAGATCGATCAGCTACTCTCCATCGACATGGGTGATAAAGAGACCCTAAGATCTTACAACAGTCGCTACTGGGAGACATTCAATCAGATTGCCCCACCAATCTAGCCATTGCGCAATATAAAAGAGGCCTACCAGTAGGGAACCGACTAAGGGATTCAATTACCATGACGCCACCCCTCACCATGGAGGCCCTGATGGAAAGAGTGCATCAGCACATCAGAGTAGAAGACGATGGCGCACGGGCCAAAGCAAAATCAAGTGCGACCGCAGTACCAGAAAAGAAGACCTCAGCAAGGTCAACACTGTAGATCGCCAGAGCAAAAACGGACATGGCAGACGAGATAACGGAGAAGACGCGGATAAAAGATGGTTGTGGATCCGCACTGCCATAACCACAGTGTTCAAAAAACCGATATATCGTATTCTCAGCGAAATAAGAGATAAGCCATTTGTCAAGTGGCCAGCCAAGCTAGGAGAAGCTCAGAAAGACTATGATGACAGATCGCGGTGCACCTTCCACAAAGAAAAAGGGCACCGAACTGAGAACTGCACGCCATTGAGATGGCAGCAGGCCACTTGGACAAATACATTGAAGGAGGCATGCAGCCAGCCCCCAGGATCACAATAACCCCAACGGAATGCCAATTGACGCCCCGCCTCAAGGCATTATCAATGTGATACATGGAGTTTTTGAACCTGAGCGTGTATGCGAGCTCAGGGGATCAATCAAAAAGGCTGAGCACTTTAAAGAAGTGTTAAGTGCCCAACCTGCCACCAAGAAGGGAAAGACAGAGGCAACAAACGTCATCTCCTTTTCGGATAAGGACTTGGATCGAATATACTGTCCTCACAATGATGCCCTAGTCGTCACTCTCCGAGTCAAGGATTTTGACGTCAAGCGGATTCTGATTGACCAGGGTAGTTCATGTGAGATCATGTACTATGACACATTCAAACAATTAAAGTTGCAAGACAAAGACTTAGCACCTGCAGTATCTCCCCTAATTGGATTCAACTCCATCCCAGAGTGGCCCGTCGGCAAAATAATTCTTCCAGTCAGAGCAGGAAGTGTGACAAAACAAGTGGAGTTCTGGGTATTGAAGGTCCCCTCCACTTACAACATTATCTTAGGCAGAACATGGCTGCATGCCATGCGATCGGTGGCGTCATCCTACCACCAAGTGATGCGTTTTCCCAACGACACCGGAATAATTGAAGAAGTTTATGGAGATCAAATCATGTCAAAGCAATGCTTCGCCACGGTGAATAGCAGCCGCGCTGCCAAGGGGTATGTACATTCGGTGGAAGAACCAGAAAGTAATGAGCTATTCGCAGACGTCGGCAAAGCAGCGGATCAGAAAGCAGTGGAAGACTTGGTAAAGGTAAACATCGATGAAAAGAACCCGGATAAGTTCTTTTTGCTCGGTTCGTCGTTGTCCAGTACTGAAAGATTAGAGGTCTTGGAATTTTTAACCTCTAATATCGAAGTGTTCGCCTGGACACCCTACGACATGCCAGGCATAGATCCTAACTTCATCTGTCACCAACTCAATGTCCACCCATCCGCCAGACCAGTCATTCAGCGCACACGCAGATCGGCACTCCACCACGCCGAAATAGTGGCGGAAGAAGTAGGCAACCTGCTGGAGGCAGGAGCAATAAGAGAAGTGCACTACCCAAGATGGATCTCCAACACGGTCGTAGTTCCAAAGAAGAGTGGCAAGTGGCGTGTCTGCGTCGACTACAAAACAGTCAACAAAGCATGCTCAAAAGACAGCTTTCCTCTACCACGGATAGATCAACTGGTAGACCTAACAGCAGGGCACAACCGACTTAGCTTTCTGGATGCGTACAGAGGCTATCACCAAATCGCCATGCATGAACCAGACCAGGAGGTCACATCTTTCACAACTCCAAGAGGACTATACTGTTACAAGGTCATGCCCTTCGGCCTGAAGAACGCAGGGGCAACATTCCAACGGATGGTCACCAAGATGTTTGAACCCTTGTTAGGCAGAACAATGGAAGCTTACATCAACGATATGGTGGTCAAAAGCAATGATGAGAATGACCATCTCAAGGACCTCGGCGAAATGTTTAAGATCCTGAAGAAGCACAAGTTGCGCCTCAATGCGTCCAAATGTGCCTTCGGAGTAGGATCTGGCAAATTCCTGGGCTTCCTTGTGACCAACCGAGGTATAGAAGCAGACCCCTCTCAGATCAAAGCAATCCAGGAGTTACAGAGACCAAACTCAGTCAAAGAAGTACAGCATCTCACCGGCATGGCGGCTACGCTCAATCGGTTTATAAGCAGATCATCAGATAAGCTACGACCATTC